CTGAGCTTTCGAGTCCAACGCTCCACTCCCGCACCATCTATAGACTTGCTCTTTCGGCGCCTGAAGTTGAACTGTTGGCCAACCCTTCCAGACTTGCTCCGACTGTCCTTACCCACGACTCGTGCTGTGCATAGGCCATCGAGTGCGCGCTGCTGCGACCCGCACCACATCGACTTCCGTTCCTGCCTACGTACCGAGCCTCCAACCACGCTTCCGTCCCGACTCTGTACGACCACAAACAGCGAGCAGCGAGGGCAGCAAGGGCATTTGCCCCGTGTACGAATTATCTGTATGTAAATGCGCCTTCCGTGTCTCCAGCGAAGCGGTCGCGGCTGCCATGTGAACTTCACACCGCCCGCCAATCCCCCACACCAGCTCCCAGGGCAGTCGCGCTGACGTGACGGCAGTGTATTTCTAGTATTCTAGTCAGTATGGCCTACCAAGGCATGGGAGGAGGCAACGGCCTCAGATCCCCGCGCGAAGAGCAGTCGTTCCTTTCCCTGAATCGCGCCGCTCAGAACGGCGATGGCCGCGCGACCCTGCAGCGCCGCTTCACGACCAACAACATTCCGACCATGAGCACGCCTCTGTCGCCAATCGGACAACAACGTAGACAAGCGGCAGAGCCGGCCGAGTTTACTACAGCGGTATGTGGGCACTCTCGTACACGTAAGAGGCGGATGTTCAGTGTTGGGGCTCCGCGGCGCTTTGCATGTCGGTACTCAGTAGCTACCGCAGCCATGTCGGATATACTTGAAACGACATAAAGTGGCTGCGCTGGTAGAGCTGCTGTCCGTTAGCTATTATACATACGCGGTGACCAAGAATTCGGGCTAACGACCAATCCCAACAGACGTACCACAAGCTCCAAGTTGTAAGTCTACTTCACTGCGTCTTTCTGCGTCTCTCACTTGTCACCCACAAATCCTACTGGAAGTAAGATTGCAGTCGTTGCCAAGGCCACCTGTCCAGGCGACGCCCATATTGACCAACAATTGTCTTTTGCCTTTGTCTCTCCTACACAACAAAAGTCCGCCGCCTCTCCAAAAGCTAGCTTTGCTATCATTACTCCTGTACATTTCTCTGTCTCATTTGAGACCCTATTCCCTATCTATATCCTCATCTCTTCCCATCTCTTCCCATCTGCATCGTCTTACGTCACGAGCGACGCTGTTGCCTCACGACAAACGCGCTCAAACACCCTCGCCGGTCCGTGTGACCAGCTAACAGCTTGCTAGCTTGAGAGAAAACGGATCGAACACGAGTATCTCAAAGAAGCAAAACGGCGATTCGACGCTGAGATGGAGCTCCTCAACTTGCAAGCCCAGCACGGCGAGAGTGACACCAACCGATTCTCGGCTGATGCTCACTACGGCGGACCTGCGCATAGCCAGCCCACTACCCCGCCCGAGTACAACGAGAGCAACGGGTTCCCGTCCGCTTTGTCGCGTCCGAACCGTTTCAGCATGTCCAGTATCAACCCGGGTATGACCACACGCGGTAGCCGTGCCAACTCCCAGGTCACTTCCCCTCCCGCCAACTTCCAGAGCAACGGCAACTTGCCTTCGCACTCGATGCCAGGATCTCGTCGCAACTCTGAGGAGGAGCATGACGACTTCGAGAACGACGACTTTACTCCACTGAGTCCGGCCGCGCGCAAGTAAGTTGGCTCAGCACAACATCACCTCAAACACTGCTAACCCAAATAGGAGCAACCGCATGTCCATGCCCGTTACTAGAATGGACTACGGCAACCGCGGAAATCTTCCAGATGTGGGCTCGCTTCTTGGCCATATTGATACTGCCGGCTTCTTGTTTGGTGATGACGCATCAGCTGCCACTCAAGACCAGAAGGCTTTCCTGCAGATGGGTAATACCAAGGACGACTTTCCAGTCTTGGTCCGCCGTGATGGTGCTGGTAATGGTACGAACCTCTCTGCCTCTTCCGCTGCACTTGATTTGGCCCTTTCACAGTCCCCTGGCCCGGATGCTCAGTCCACTGCTTGGAACGGACACCGTCATCGTCAGGCTCAACAGTCCCTTCCTGCTAACACTTTCCGTAAAGCTTCTCAGATGGACGACTATGAGTCCGGTCGATCCAACGGCGCCGAGATCACTCCCAAGAACAACCGTCGCTCGGTGGAGTTCAGCTTCAGCCCCAAGAACAATGAGTCCAAGCGCTCCAGCTACGGTGGCCCGACCAACGGCATGCCCAAATTGACTCAGTCGTACTCTACAAACGACGTTCCGACCCTGAAGAATGGAGCGAACGGCGCCAATAGTATCGGTTTCACGCACTCGCAGCAGTTCCACAACCACAACGCTAGCCTTGGTCGCATTCCGTCAAATGTGCTGTCCAACCGTAACAGCCGCGATCTCTCACTCGGTAATCGCGAGTCTGAGTACCGTTCTCCGCAGTCAGGCTTGCACGCAAGCGCTGCACCTTTCGGTCCTGGTATGACTTCAGCTGCCAACGGCAACGGCGGAGTCTCGTCGACTGTCGGTTCACCAGCCATGTCACAGTACTCGAGTGTTTCCGCTGCCAACCCAGGATACTATGGATACGGCATGAACATGCTGAACGGTGCTTTGAATGGTCTCAACCTTGGAGGTGGGCCCGGTCCTCAGTACGGTGGACCCACTGCTTATGCTCCCAACGGCATGTACGGTAACGGACCGTCGCAGTACAACCCATACGCTACCTATGGCCCAGGTGGTCGTGTACAGGACAGCCAGGCTCGCGTCATTCAGAGCCGTCGTCTGCAGAACGACGCCAACAAGTACATGAACTACGATCTGAAGACCATGCCCCGTCACGAGATCTACAGTTTGTGCAAGGATCAGCATGGTTGTCGGTTTCTGCAGAAGAAGCTCGAGGAGCGCAACGCGGAGAACATCCAGATCATCTTTGATGAGACTGCCCCTCACGTCGTTGAACTCATGACTGATCCTTTCGGCAACTACCTCTGCCAGAAGTTACTAGAGTACTGCAACGATGAGCAGCGCAACACTCTTGTCCGCAACGCTTCCCCTGCGATGGTTCAGATCGCGTTCAATCAGCACGGCACTCGCGCTTTGCAGAAGATGATCGAGTTCATCTCCACCGATGATCAGGTATGTTACGACCCCCGGTATTCTCCCACTTCCGAGCTAATTCGTCCCCAGACTCAGATGATTATTCACGCATTATCTGGACAGGTCGTCGATCTCATCCAGGATCTGAACGGCAACCACGTCATTCAGAAGTGCCTGAACCACCTCAAGTCCGTGGAGGCCCAGTTCATCTTCGATGCTGTAGGCGAGAACTGCATCACTGTTGGTACCCACCGCCATGGATGCTGTGTTCTTCAGCGTTGCATTGATCACGCCGTCGGTTTCCAGAAGGTCGATTTGATCCGCAAGATCACTGCCCACAGCTTCCACCTTGTGCAGGATCCATTTGGCAACTACGTGGTTCAGTACATCCTCGACCTCAACGATGCGGCCTTCACGACCCCCATGTGCCAGGGCTTCCAGACCAAGATTTGCGAGTTGTCTAAGCAGAAGTTCAGTTCCAACGTCATCGAGAAGTGCATCCGCTGCGCTGAGCCGCACGTCAAGGGCATGATGATTGAGGAGTTGCTTGACGTCGAGCAGCTTGAGCAGCTCATGCGCGACTCTTACGGCAACTACGTTATCCAGACTGCACTCGAGTTTGCTCCCGCCGAGCTGTGCGTGCACCTGATCGAGGCCATGCGTCCGATTCTGCCATCCATCCGCCAGACCCCTTACGGTCGTCGCATCATGAGCAAGGTTAGCGAGCGCGAGAGCCGCCTGGCTGCCTACACTGGCCGTACTTCATCTGGTCAAGGTTCGCCCGGCGCTGGGCCAGGTTCTGAGTCGAGCTCGGTCTTCAACCAGGCCCCGGCACAGTACCAGCCTCCCAACGGTTCCTCTGGCTACCAGACACCCATGTATACTGCAACCGCAAACTATGGTCCGAGCATCATCTCACCTCAACCTCACCGCCAGCCGCACCGCTTGAGCAACCCGCACCACATGCACAACCCTGTTCAGGACAACCGCCAGGGCTACGCTGGCTACCAGCAGCAGCACCAGTACGGCATCCCTCAGGCCAACGGCGGCAACGGCAGCTGGTTCTAGAAGAGCCAAGCGGTCAACGAGGTTATGATTTGACGAGCTACGGTCTGTCCAAAAGCACATCACTACGCAACATGCTTACCAGTAGAGTACACTGGTGTTGGCGTTGTCATTTTGATGGTTTGATCTTTCTTCCATGTATCGGTCCTGTCTGTCTGATTGGGCGGATCGATCTTGTATAGTACGACTACACGAGCATCATCGCGCGGCCTAGGCAGCATTCGGCATATTCGGCGTACGGATCTGGGCTACACGGCGTTCTTCCCTTCCCCCTTCATTGATTGTATTCTATCCCTTCATTTCCCCCAGCCATCACTTGTCTTCACGATACGGCACCTTTGTGCACTAAAAGGAACGTTTCAGCATGAGCACGAAAACGAACAGCACGAGCACTGTCGCCGTATGGGCGGCCTCTTCATTTTCATCTACCCCTTGCAATGGCACTTGCCGTGAGCCTGGAGCTAGGTGGCAAGTCTATGTACATGAATACAGGATCATATTCCAAACTTGATATGCACTTGCGTGATGTTGTACTATCGTCGGGGTGAATGGAAACAACAAAGACAGGGCAGTGACGATGTTGCAATGAATTGTGGCCAGGGTTGCATCGATGTGACGAGGGGTCCAGCGGAGCGACTGCCGTGTGACATGTGAGGCGATGACGCGCTTTGAACTTCGGCTCGGGACCAGCCATTTGAAACATGCACCTGCCCAGTCGCTCCTAGACACTTACAAACCACGCCGAGCACCACCAGTAAACCTCTCGCGACGTCCAAAAGCATTTCAATACGATAAGACGGCTGCCTGACGCTCTCACTATTCTCAACCGTCTTCCGCAGCCCCAAGTCGCCCAAGACATAATGCGCTTCGCCATCTTCTCCTTCCTCGTTGCGTTCCTCGCTGCCTTCGTCATGGCCAGCGCACCCCACCGCTCCGTCATCATCAGCTGGCCCAACGACACACCCGACGACATTGTCGAGCAGAGCAAGGAGGCTATCCGACAGGCCAAGGGTACGAGGCATGCGATACCGGTAGAGGACATGTGCTAACATAATATCAGGCGTCATTACCCACGAGTACAACATCATCAAGGGCTTTGCTGCCACCGCCCCCGCTGCCGCTCTCGACATGGTGTCGACTTTGAGCGACGTGTACAAGTGCGAAATCGAGGAGGATGGCATCGTTACCACGCAGAACAACAAGGAGTAGGCCGGATCGGGAAGGAAGAGGGCAACAAATTGGAAGGAATGACCCTTTATTTAATTGCGCTCATGATTATACGACTGGAGTCTGGAGTCTACTCTTGGATCGGACAGGGTGGAGTTGGACGAGAATGTCAACTAGACAATCCATCAGTATTCTAATTTCTGTAGAGCATATTAAACCCATCCTCAACATTGACTGTGATAAACACAGCAAATTCATTAGCCCTACGTATCACCATTGCAGATTGTTGCTACGCCAGAGAGTGCTGTGATCACCGTAGGGTAAGATGGAGGAACCCTGCAGCGGCTCTTTCCCCGCGGGTGTGGCCTGCCCGTGCACGTCGTCTCAGAACAGCGGCGGCTTTATGCGCGTCATGTTCCGTCTGTCAAAAGGCAATTAGGGAATGTCAGGCTGATGCCCCTCACTCGACGCCCATCGCACGACTCTACGCCTCGCTACACACCGATTCAAGACGTCGCCGCGGGCATGTGCTGCATTCCGGCTTAGCGTTCGGGCTCCCAACCTCACCGACGCGCGCGACACGTCCTCGAGCAAGGACTCAGCCTGTGCATGGTGGAGCACGTACACTTCACCGCAAAACCACAGACATCGAGATGCATGACTGTTATTCACTCTACTCGCACCGCATAACAGCATTGACAGACCGACACGCGGGTACCAGGCCCCGCGACACTCCACCATGGACGACTTCAAGCCCGAGCTGCTCAAGGCTCTCCTCGACTGGGTACGTCTCCACGTGCCGCCTCCTACACGTCCGAGTGGACTAGCTGACCTTCGCGTCTAGGTCAACACCTTCGACCTCCCTCACAGAATCACGTCGCTGAGCCAGCTCGAAGACGGCCAAATACTGTGGCAGATCCTCGCCGACATCGACGCCGACTACTTCAACGAGTCTCTCCCAAATTTCGAAGAGAACCACCGCCGCCAATCAGACAATTGGATACCGCGATGGCAGAACCTCAAATACATCGAACGCACAACCTCGACCTACATACGCGAAGAATGCGAGCAGCTGCCCGTGCTCACCAAGCGCATGATACCAGACCTCAAGGCAGGCGCGAGGGATGGATCGACAATGCTGGTTGCAAAGCTCACCATGGCTGTGCTACTGGCCGCATGCTTCTCGCCGCGCAGCAACCAGCGCATGCTGCAGGTTATGCCCAAGCTGGGCCAGAAGACGGCCGAGACGATAGCCGAAGCCATACAAGAGATGCAGGCCTTGGACCAACGCATGTCGGAACTAGGCGTCGATGCCGAGCTGACTTCAGAGCCAGTTCTCTCAGGGTATAGAACGCCCACACGAGCAATATCGGGCCAGCCACCTCCGGCAGGCAACGAGTTGGAGCAGGAGGCACAGCTGTTCGAGGCGAACAAGGACAGGCAAGCACTCAAGGCGCAAGTTGGAAAACTACTTGAGGAGCTCAAGACCTCACGAGAACGCATATCCAAGCTCGAAGAGGAAGTCGCAGAAGCGACTGCCTATCTCGATGTTCGGGCGGGCCAGGCACAACGCGCTCAATCCGACGATGTCGAAAACCTACGGAACGACTTGCTGCGCGACAGACAGTACATCGACCAGCTCGAACAAGACCTCGCACATACGAGAGAAATCATGGAAAGCCAGAAGCGACGCCTCGATCGGCTAGAGGGCGAGGAAGGATCCAAACAGGACTTGCGAGATCAGCTGCAAGTCGTCAAGGCAGAACGCGACGAGCTGAGCCAAAAGGCCAAGGCGAACGAGAACCTGAAGAAGAAGATCGAATCTCTCACCAAGGAAACCAAACAACTGGAGACGCTACGCGAAGACTACCAACAAGCTCGTGAACGGTTAGCTCAGCTCGAAGGCGTCGAGGAGCGCATCGATATCCTGCAGAACATCATCAAAGAGAATGGTCAGACGCTTGCCAACGGAGAGCAGGCCATCTTTGAAGAAAAGGGCAAGCGCACCCGAATCGAGCATGAGAACCTCCTCCTTATGAAGCAGTTGGAGCAGACTCGCGAACTACAATACAAAGCAGAAGATGCCAAACAAGAGCTTGAAGAACGGATACGAGAACTAGAATCATCCAATCATGCTGATCGTGGCGGAAGCCTGGAAGACGAGCTTGAGCAAGACGAGAACGCCAATCAAGATACCGACACGAAGCCCGCGTCTGATGGGCGGGTGAGCGCAGATGCGATTGCTCTACAACAACGGGTCGATATCTTGAACGTCCGTTTGAAGTCGCTAGAAAGCGAAACACTCAAGCAGATGCAGGAGAATTTGGGTCTACGGTCTGATATGATGACAGAGAAGGATGAGAACAGCCAGAAGTAAGTGACAGCTTCATATGGATCGGGCATTACTAATTACATGTCCGCAGACCATTTCTGGAACAGAACGAAAAGCTACAGACTGCTCAAACCGAGCTGGAAGAACTTCGTCGCCGGTTACGAGAACAAGACCTGCAAATGGCGGAACTTCGCAACGAACTCAACAGGAGTATGTATTCCGATTCATCTTTGTGATTGTGCTAACTCTGCTAGAATCTGACATCGACGACGATACGCGCACAGCTGCTGTCCAAAAGGAACACGAGCGCCTACTGGTACTGCAAGAGAGGACCAACGACAGACTACGGGAGCTCGAAGTTGCGAACGCAGAGAAGCAGGGTCTCTTACGAGCAGCGTTGCTCGATCGCCAAAACCTACCGCCAGAGCTTCTTGAGCTCAAGAGAGTCGAAACGATACGAGAGATGCGTGAACGGATAGAGTCTGTCATCAAGGCCCCAGCAGAAGTACAACCACAAGTGCTAGATACCACAAGTTCGGAGATCGCCGAGACTGTGCTATCCTCCGAAGCAGCTCTGGACAAAGCAAAGAAGGTAAGTAACAAGCAGATCTCTCATAGCAAGTCGCCTTCTTCCGCGTTCGACGCAGCGGTTTCGGCAATGAAGAAACATCAGCTTGAACCTTCGTTCACTGCGGCTACTCTTGTCTCGCCGGCTTCGCCAAATCGATCCCATCTCGGAAAGGATAAGTCGCTATCGGACATGTCTACTTCAACAGCTGGGACGGGGCAAACTACATGGGGCCGCATGGCGCAGCTAGTCTCGCCAAAGCGGAGGACCAAGTCGACCATGGGCGGCACCGAGTACTACACGATGCAATCGTCGAATGACTGTGCGGCAAGTTTGTCCTTGGCCTGGCTGCCAGAGTATACTTATTCATCCGACTTCCTCTCCTTTTTCATACCCTGTACTCATCTCCTCGCGCCCATGCTAACCCGCAACCGCAGGACCTCCAAGATCAACTCACAACCAACAGCACACTTCGCGAGCAACTCGAGCTCGCAAAGAAGGAGACGTCAGAGAAGGGCTCGGTATGTCGCGTTCCCTCCCTCTCCAGAACAGCGACGTGGCAACCTTGGATATGGTAGTAACAAGTGCTCCAACAAACAGGTGGAACTCCAACAAGAAGTCGAAAACCTGCGCCGCGAAAACGCACTGGTCAAGTCCATGTGGTACGACATGAACCAGCGTCTCCTCAGCAACACCGTCATCCTGCAAAGACGCAGCGAAGCACCCAAAGGCTGGCTCGGAAAACAAAGAGCCGCTGTCGGCGGCTCCAGCGTCTTAGTACGTTAGCTCCCCTCTTCCTGTAAACACGTTTTTTTGTGTATGTATTTCCAAGGGCTGACTGGGTATAGGGCCGGAGGTAGCCGGAGCCGTGACCTCATCGCCTTCTCTGCGGCCGACGCCCTCGTCGGTGGGCAACAGCTACGCAGCAGCTGGCTCGTCGGATGGCGTGCTCGTTTCTTTTCTCTTCATTACGCATTTTGTAGGGCCGCGGAATCGGGTTTGGTTCAGCATAGCGCAGGTTTGGTGGCATTTGTATTGCGTGAGGATGTATAGACGTATTGTCTTTTGTCACTTATACCCCCTTTTATTCCTTTGCAGTAGTTTGTAGAGAATCAAATATACTAGATCAAATGGACGGCTGAGCGTTTGGGTGTTGTTGTTGAGATGTCAAGTAAAGAGCGTCATGTCATTGAGGGAATAGAGACATGTACATTGGTATTTAGAATGAAAAAGGGTTCAAGCAACATTGAGAAACGGTGCGTTTGGTGGATGACGGCGGTATGGACATGGATTATGAAGACGTTATCCGACAGAAGCGATACACTAGGTAAACCCAACACACAAACAACATCGAGAGTGTGCCGTTGCATTAGCCTCCTCCTCCCACTTCGTCACTACGCTTATCTCCCATTCACATTCCCCATCCTCACACATCAAATTCTCCACACCATCGCCTTCCATCCTCCAATCTCCTACCAACCTAAATCAACAGGTCAACTCCGCACACTCAGTACTCAGCCAGCCTCAACCTCCTCCCGATATTCCTGCGTATAACGTCGCGCTCGACGGGTTCGTTCTGCGCTCGATTCGCATTGAGTGCCTGACGAAGCATTCCCGCATCGAAGAAGCCATCTATAGCCGGAGCAAAAAAGTAAGAATCAGCGATCAATGAAACAGTGGAAAACGAGAAACGATGTATGGGGGAAAACAAGGTAGTGTGTTGGTGCTGATGATGAAGTCTCGTGTGCGCATGCCACTTATACCGCTCAATCGCATCAATAATGTAGGAAAGCAAAGAAGAAAACTTCTCTAATGAGGAAAGAGGAGAACAAACAAAACGCTAAGAAGAGTAAAAAATCGGTTTCCTCGCCGCAACAGGCGCTTTCCTCGCTTTCACCGTTTTAACAACCGGAATAGGTTTACGCGGCGAGCTTTGCAAAACAGGCGTCATGGGTTTGAAAGGCGGGGAATGAGGAGGCGTAGGCGGTAAACCGCCCACAGTAGGAAAAGGCTGAGAAGAAGAAGGCAAAGAGGAACAAGAAGCATGGCTCGAGACTTCATCAAGGGAAAGAAGGGAAGGAGGGGAAGGGGGAGCCCTACATCCACCGAGACCATCGTCGTCATCGTCATCTACTATACTCTCTGCAGGCGTTTGTTGTTTTCCACCATCTCCTAGAATGATTCTGCCTCTGCTCTTGAGACGGGTGGCGAGGGGTCTGTCTTCCGCTTCGCGGGCGCGGGTCGCGGTTTTATCAGCCGAAGTGCCGCGGCGCTTGATCTGGCGGAGGAGTTTGCGGATCTCCAAGAAGTAGGATTCCAGCGCGTCGATGTAGCGCGAGGTTTGGCGGTGCTTGGATGATGCGCAGATGGATATGCTGCCGTCTTTTATGATGTAGCCTATGCCGAAGCCGTCGGCGGACGTGGGACCGAAACCGAATTGGCGGAGCGAGGGGTTGCCGCAGTTGGAGGTCGAGAGGATGGTCTGGTTGATCTTGTCCCAGCCGCTGTCGGCGAAGAGGGCGGGCATCGAGTGCTGCATTGGTGCTGGGGGTGGCGAGCTCGAAATGGAGTCGTTCTCTGAGAGGACTGAGTTGCGGTTCGGTGAGCCGACGCCTGATGCGTCGGCGCTGGATGGTCGTGTCGAGTCCCAGCCGTCACTGCTCGCTGTGTCGTTTGACTCGTCAATGGCACGCTGCCAGATGCAGTACAAGGCGTAGAGATGCCGGTCGGGACCTTGGGCTTTGGAGCAGATCTTTGTGTTTTCGGTGTGCTTTTGACACGCCTTCCGGAGTGCTTCGATCTTCTGCGAAGCTGGGTTTTCGCCCCAGAACGTAGTGAGAAAGTCAACCGATTCTTCTGTTACCGAGCGAATGGCTTCCGTACGTCCGTGGTAGTAGATCTTGGTCATAGCGGGTTCGTATACGCATTCTATCCGTCCGTATAGACCGTAGTACGCTGCCTGGAAAGCCATTTGAACAAAAGCATCGGGTGAGAAACCCATCGAAGTCATGAAGTTCTTGCCATAGTGAGGGAACTCCAGAGTCGCGAACTCATTCTGCTGAATGAGGTCTGCCAGACGTGTCTCGGCAAAACGAAGCGCTGTGCTGAGTTCGGGAAGCATGTCCCACTCGAGCTTATGAGGTGTTGTTTGTACGTCGCCAAAGCTATCTGGGTCGCGCTTGGCAGGATCAGGACTTGATGAAGCCCAAAGACTCGGCGCACTGCCGTTGATGGTTCTCGCGAATCGGAGAATGGTGTCGGTGTAGACATCGGAAGCAAATCGGAGCACAGTATGGCCATCAACACCGGTATGCTCGAAGTTGATTCCCGCACTTCCGTTTTTGCAAACGATGATCTGCAGCTTGTCGTACCAGCGGTTCGTGCATGTTCCCACTTGGACACCGCGCTCAATTTTGCTCGTACCGCAAAGCATATTCATGCACAGATCGGCACCTGTTTGCGGCTCGGTGTAGTCCAGGCAGAGGATAAACAATGCTGAGTCAACAATGTTGAGGCAGTCAGAGTTATTCGAGCCCTCTTCCCTGTGCAGGACGTCACGAAGTCCAGCCCAAACCTTTCGGTTCTCCGTACTCAGCACACCCAGAGCTCCTTTGGCCGCATCTTGAATCGGTACTTCCTGCGCGTCATCGACAATGACTTGCAGATTGAGAGCGATATCCTTCTCCGTCATGATCAGATCGTGGTTATCATCTAGAACGTCGAACCAGTAGAACTGGCCATAGCACATGACGACCACGTGCTTCGAAGTTGGGTCTTGACCGATCTGACATCCATGCTCAGTGGGTATCCTGGCAGTGCCGAACAGTCTTGAGTATTGGTACATGCACAGTGGCTGACCACGAATGGTGTCAGGCGGTAGTTCCTCGCGACGGACAGCTCTTACAAACGACAGTGCCGAGACGACTAATGAGGCTGCGCGAGTGACTTGGTTGTTGCGAGCCGGGGTAGGATCATCCTCCAGTAAGAAGAATGGATTTAGATTAAGTACCACCGGGTTATCGAAGTTCAGATATGAATCATACCCTAGCGATAGGTCAGCCTATGATACATGGATATGGATACACTTTCGACTGTCGATCATGAAATGCCTCAAATATAGCTCATCGTGTCAAATGAAAAGATACTTACAGAACTGCTCGATGTAGTTGTTCTTCCCAGAAGCGTACTTCTTCAGCTTCTCCTGCAGCACAGGTCCATCCGTCTTGAGGAAGTCCTCTACTGAGTGAACCGTATCGCTGTGTTCCTTCGGAGACTGCAAAGGTTTGAGCGCGGCAATGTATTTCTTGCACGAACTGTCGAGCTCTGGAATAGGAAGCTTTGGTAGACTGTCTTCGTGTGCGAAGGTGATGCCTGGTCTTGAGTTGGGGTTGGTATGGCTTGCTAGTGGTGCTTGTGCCTCTGAGGAGTAAGACTGGGTACTCTGTTTCGCGGACTCAGCCGAACGGGTGGTGCCGTTGCCTTCTGAACCAGACATCTTCGATGCCTTATCAAGTGTATCCTCAAGGGACGACGGTTGGGTGAAAGTGCGGACTGCCATGGCGAGTGTCAGTTAGGCGTATAGGGGCGAGATGGAGGTGGCAATGTTGAGATGCCGCAGAGCACTGCGATAGAAGTAGTGACAGTCCTGAAGACAGTAGGCCGGCATGGATACTCAAAGTTCGCAAAGAGCATCAAGGTACTTGGGGAAGAGAAGACTCTTATAAGAGTCAAGACGAATGGGGAAAGTAGAATTAGGGCGGGTCCACATGGCGACTTCGCATGTGAAACGCGCGATAGGCTTCGTAATAAGAGAGACAGGCGATGCAAGATGCCGCTCAGGTAGCCGACCGCTGACCCGGAACGTGACCCGGAGCATGGCAGACCAGAGAGGTGAATGACCCGATGTTCTAAGCCAACGAAACGCCCATGCAAGGAGAATGCAACTTACACAGTAGCGTCGAGCTTTAAATGAGCTGCGGATAGTCTGGCGGAATTTGTCCAGATGTGGAGAGTAATCGAAACTGCTGTAGTCAAAGTAACTCTGTTGCGCAACGACTTACTGTACTCCAATGGGCCTCTTGGGCTCTCGACGATGCAGCAGGACCAGGGTAAAGGACCGGAAAAGGTGTGCCGCGGATCGAAGCACAGCAAATGTCAGAGAGACTCGGTCGTGAGGATACGGTAGGCGCGTAAGGCTGCCCCGAGGTGTACTAGTGGGCCTGTTAGAAATCAGCTATCTACGTTACGGACGAGTGGAAGCGTCGGCGGTAGCGCGAACTTATAAAGGGCACGCACCGTCGCGTAGGCAGTCCGGTTAATCGGAGAAAATGTACCTGGGCAGCTTTAGGAGAGGCACGGCAATGGGTGCAGGGCACGATAGCAGGATGGCACTATGGTCTATGGCTACTTGGATCACACTGCGCTCTACTCTACGCACAGCAACCTGAGGTGTCGATGTCTGGGCTCCGTCTTGGGCGGACTGGGATTGGAGAGTGGCTGAGGTATGCCAACGTGTGGAGAAGCGGGGGATCCAGGTGTGACGTAGGTCACGGACCATAGGAGAAACGGAACCCCCACCACGCTGTCGTGAATAGACTAGTCGACTAGCGGCCAAGAGCTTCTCGAACAGTCGCGAGCAGCTTTCATCACGCGTCAGTCAGTCATCCCGTCCGCCTCCAACGCTCCGCCCGCCGTGACATTTGACCGAAAAGGCGAGTCCGGAACGAGAGTCGCGCGTGCCATCCGCAGAGCCGCGCAAATGCGACACCTCTCTGGCCCATGACGGA